AGAGAGTTTATTACAGAGAAATGGCTCTTTCCAAAATAAAAGCTATACTATACGCTTCTTCTGGGCTATACTCTCAGCAGCATATTAAACATATCAGGTCCCCATAAGGAGAATCATGTGCTAACGGCTGTCTAAATAAATGACTCAGGTAAAGTTTGTAGCATGCGTGCTTGTTGTTTTTGTCTGCTTCCACTTGTCTTTGCACTAGGATGATGTTGGCGTAAATGTGCAGTCATATTCATTTTGTTCCCACTAGTGCTGTCAACGTTAATCTGAAATTATGTTAACGCCACAACACGGCAAATCTCCATTAACGAGCTACCGCGGATCGCCCCATGCGTGGGGCTGAACGGCCAACACGTTAACGAGCTAACTGCGCTAATGCACTAGTTCCCACCATTACGAGCATTACGTGGCACATCCGACATACTGTTTTACTTTTGTCCATGATGCGCTTACCTTCAGGGTCATACCTCATATTTAGTCTGTTAACTGTCAATCTTTTTTCTTTTACTATATTTTATTAATATTTTGCTCTTTACTATTTTTTCTACTGTACCAATCTGCTGAGTGACTGTCTTTTGCTCGTCAAATACATTTCATTGCAATTTTGACCCTGTACTAAATTGCATATGACAAATAAAACTGAAAACATATATACTAACAAGACAGTGTACATCACTGTCACAATAGCATTTCTTTTCATTGAAAGGCTTTATGTTTTTCCTATAAAACCGTGTGGGTCGGTCTGTAGTCAAAATACCCGGGCCGATTTTTTGTCCCAGTCCAGTCCTGGCTGACCAGGTAGCCAAGGTGCGGACTCCCGGCATAATGAATTAATTAAATACACCATTAAATAATTAATTAAATATGTCAATATTTAATATTTATTTAAATAATTATTTCCAATTTTAATTAATATTTAATGGTGTATTTAATTAATTTATTATGTCAGTCCTGGGGTTCCATAGTCTTTCGCTACTGGGGTTAAATAAGTCACTTAGATAACTTATAAATGTTAATGTTTGGTTTACTTCAGTGTTTGATATTCCTGAGTAAATGGGTTTGGCTGAGATTAAATTTTAACTTCATAACTGGACCGTTTTATTTAATAGTTCAGTCTTACTTGGAGAGCTGTCAGTCTATTTTGAATTTCACCCGTCATATTATGAAAATGTTTCCTCCTGAATGTAAATATTATTTTATGTTAGATTTAACTCAGAGTCAGCTGTTTAAGTAAGAACAGAGCAGGGGATATGACGTGAAAATATCTTAAAATTTATTTTGTGATCCACTGCCTCGTTTGAGTTTTGGACGAAATGCAGTCTGGGATATTTGCCTGGCTGTGGCTACAGTAGCTAACGAGCTGATTGGAGACCAAAACAGCCAATCAGATTTTTTTGCATCCAAGTCTGTGATTGGTTGGCTTTTTGGCAAAAATATAACAGTGTACAGAAAGAATTGAACGCGCAGGGGCAGAAATGTTGAGAGCGCGAGTGACGCACTGCGAGCAGGTCCGCAGAGATCTGTGCAAGAGCAAATGCAAAAGATCTGAGCGAGAGGGGCTGCTATTGTGTGTGTATATGGATAATAGCAAACAGTGAAATACATTTTTGCACACAGCAATGAATTTTGTTCACCCAAATTTAGCTTTTCTTCGCTCAAAATAAAATTCTCCTCAAGATGCAACACTTGCACTTGCAAAATTCTTTTGACGTGCGCTCAGAATAGTGGCACGAAAATATCGCTATAAATACTCACCTTAAAGCAGATCACTCTTAAGCTGTAGAGGAAATGGTGTCTTGCTAATTTTGAAGCTCATCATTTAACCTGAAAAAATGTTTTCAGAAAAATAAATTTGAGAAAAATTATTCCTAACCATCTCATAGGCGTAAAATTATGTATAGCTACTTTTAATATCACTGATATTTATTTTGTCTCTTTTTTCCAATTGATCTTTTCGTAATTACTTCCTTAAACCATGAACATGTCTTTCAGACCCTTCCTACAAGACTGCTCAAAGAAGAACTACCATTATTAATGTGTCGATCTAAATATGACCAATCTATCTCTATTATTGGTCTCTTGTACCACAAGTGTTCGCAATACCACCACTACTTAGAAAGAACTTGACTATACTACTTTGTTACAGGGATTAGAGCATTTGGTAGGTAATAAAGGTACTGAGCTCCAGTGGTTTGAAACATATCTGTCTAGCAGACTCCATTTTGTTCATGTAATTTGGGAGTCCTCTTCATACACTAAGGTTAATATAGGAATTCCACAGGGTACCATGCTAGAACCAACTATTTTTATATACATGCTTCCTTTAGGCAGTATAATTAGAAGCCAAATCATACATTTTGACTGTTATGCAGATGGTATTAAACCATGAAGCCAGATAACACACACCAGTTTGTTAAAGAAAAGTCTTAAAGACACAGAGAGCCCTCTTCTGTGGAACCAACTTACAGTTTGGAATCGGGTAACACACTCTACTTTCAAAATCAGGCTTAAAACTTTTCTTTTTGTATGGTTAGGGCTGGATCAGGTGTCCCTGAAATTGTCTTAAAATACAATAGGCCCAGGCTGCTGGAGGTTTCCCATGATGTGCTGAGTTTCTTCTTCCATCACCTTTTTCACTGTGTGTTTATACACCACGATGCATTTAATTATTACCTATTCATCATCTCTGCCTCTCTTCTATAGTGTGTCTTTGTCCCCACCCCAACCAGTTGTTGCAGATGACGCATACTGAAAAAAAAGTAAAGTTTTGAAACAAGGACGATGTTAAAGAAAGCATGATTTGGGCATTCTTTGATCAAATTTCATAGATATTGATGTATTTTTGTATGCACCATTATAATTGGTTTATAAAGTAAGATAATTAATCCTTATTTTTCCTTTTCTGCTTAAATTAATATAATTGAAACGCATTGGAATATTCACTTAATTTCATTATTAATTAGTAATAATGCCATAAAATATTCTTGAAAACAGAAATGCACAGAAAATTTCATATGGAGAAAACTTGTTAAACCTTTATGGTCCTAATTAATTAATTAATCAGTTAATTAAAAAAAAAAAACCTTCAGGTTACCTACATATTAGTTGTAGTGACAACAGACTGACTAAAAGTCTGTACACAAAGTTAATGTTAAGAATTTCAGTTTTGTTTTGATTGGTTGGAGGATTTGTATAAAACTTATAAAAGTCGCAATTAGTTAATTCCTAAGTATTCCTTATTCCTTCTTATTCTTTTGTGTTCCCACAATTCATTTTAAACTGGTGTAGCCTGGAAGTGTGAAATTCACTGAGGGGTGAATAACTATAATCTGACTAGTCCACACCTCCAACCACCTCACCTAAACTGCTGGTGCTTAATTTTTAGGTGAATACTTTAAATAACATTAGACACATTATATAAGTGTTATTTTACAGTCTAGCTAACCATAGCTATCAATACCAAATATATTTCTGATGCTACATCTGTAGCATTGTGCTGTGTGATCAAACTGCATATTTCAGAGTGGCCTTTTGTTGTGGTTAGTCTAAGGCCCACCTGTGCAATATTCATTCTGTCTAATCAGCACCTTGACATGCCACATCTGTGAGGTGGGATGGACTAACATAGATTTAGACAGATTTGTGAACAATATTTGAGAGTAATGGGTCTTTTGTGTATGAAGAAAATGTTTCAAGTCTTTGAGTTCAGGTCTTGAAAAACAAAAGTGTTTTGTTTTTATATTTTTGTTCAGTGTACATACCCAGAATAAAGAAAGGTCATTCATTTCTTTTTGGGGCAAAAAAATGGTCTGGTGATTAGCAGCATGGCAATGATTTCCAGGGTGCACCAATGACAGCTGGGACGATAAACCTCTCTTGTCCCACATAGCCTTGAATTGCAGGGGAAAGAATATGTATGGCATATTTTTGCTTACTGGACATTTAAAGTATGAATTTAATTAAGACTTTTTTTTAGATATAAAATATGCTGTGATAGAAGATCCCCTACACTCCAATGCAACACGTGTATTTATATGTATAATTCCGTTCAGCTTTTCAAAGACAGTTTTAAGTAGACCTCTTTCTCATATATATAATAATATCAGCCATGATAAAATAAATCTGGTATTTTCCGGCTAGCTTTTGATTTCTTTATACATGTTTAAGATTTTTGCATTCAAACAGGTAGTTTAGCATTTTGTTAAATACCTGTTTCAATTTCAATTAAAAAAAAATCCTTTAAGCAAAGGGGAACCTAAGGTAGGATTAACAGCATTTTCACATGTAATATTATCTCGATATGCTAAAACATCAGCCATTATTCTTATCTTATTTATTATGACGTTATTACCATTTGAAGCCTGTCTAAAACAAACAAATAAAAAAATAGAAAATTCAAATACACAGAAACACACAGAAAAACACAGGTTATTATATTGTTAGCATGGTATTAGGCTACTATTACTAATTGGTTTTGCTTCATGGGTATATCTTTATTCCACAACATTACCCTTGGTTTTGGCCCCCTTTTTTTTATCCAATTACATATATTTTAGTGTAATATTGCTCAGCTGTAACTATTATGCCACCATTGTAGTACTTGGAAATTAACTGGTTACTACTCTGATATAATTAAGTTGTAATAACTTGCAAACATCCACATTATTACCTTCTTATTTCCACCTTGTTACCACTCCATTTTTACACAGCTGTATTAGAAAGTGCTGCTGATCACAGTCCACTCTGCACTCTGTTGCATTTGTTTTAGTTGCACTGGTATTTAGTGTTATCACTGGTACATATTCTTCAAAGTAGAATGGGATTTGAAGGAGCCGGAAGGATAACCTAAACATAACGGTAACTATATGAAAATGGTTTATGGTGGTTTATTGAAAAATTAAAATATAGAACCTTACAGACTGCCACACCAGCAGATAGAATTGGGATTTTTTTTGAAAAATCACCAATATCTGGTACCTATTTTCAAACCATAGTTCTTCTAGCTTACTACTCACTATACAACTGCCCTGCAACTTTGCATTTAGTGTAAGAGCTAGACAAGTACACTAATAATTCTGGCATGGAATGATGACAAGCCCAGACGTTACAAAGATATTTAGGTGTCTGTTCAGCTCTGGTAAGAATCTCAATGGAAGAGGTGTGATCAAATCTGTCCTCTCAACCAGAGCATACCATGTTGGTGAAAATAAATTTAAAGGTTATACAGGTTTTACATATCAGTACATAATAAAAACAACCAGGTAATTAGCAGGTCTTAAAATTAGGTAAATGTAACCTGAATGATAAATTAGTAAACATGACATATCATGCTATGTTATTATTATTATTATTATTATTATTATTATTATTATTATTATTATTATATGTAATAAATACATTGAATTGAAAACTACAGGCAAATGAAAAATGGGGTGTATTTAGTTTTGCACAGATTGTTTCTTCTTTTTGGCATTCACCCTTTCTAATTATGTAATTGGAAAGATGTGTTAGGTCCATTTGATCACATTTTTACATTTTTATGGTCTTAAAAAACTTGAAAATAGAAGGCAACTGGACTTCTTTAAGTTTGTGGAGATGTTTCACCTTTCATGTTAGAAGCTTCTTCAGTTCTAAAAATAAAAGATGGAGAGTCACAAGTATTTAACACCCGGTTTTGCTTGTCCCCTTTGGAGGCGGTCCAAGTAAGTAAAATTTCATTTATATAGTATCTTTTAAGACATACAAAGTGAATAACTTAGTTGGACTCAAGTGCGTGACTCGGGGAAGAAGCAGCAAGATGCAGAATAAGCTTTGTGATACTTTACTGACTTCAACACAAACTGAGGAAAACAATGATTTCTTAAATATGTGCAAAAGGAAATTAAAGGTCACTTGGAACACAGAGTTTAATTGGGCGAGAGACCAGCAAGCATATGGGCAGGCTGGATCTAGGGGGGAGAGGATAGATCAGGCAGAGCAGGGAACTCAGGAAGAGAATGATGTTATCCCGAGTGAGATTGTGAGATGCCTTACTTGGATTCTGAGCGAGAGGGAACCAAGGACGTATTGAGAGGAGAAGCCTTGGTTGAGTCTCTGGAGATTGGAGGAGAAACAGAATTACCCACTTGGCATGGAATCATTCAATGAAAGTAAGACTAACAACTAGCCCATTTACCACTCTAAGAGAGCTGATAATCTGGTGAAGTGTGGATGGACGCACTGGTCCTCAAGTATGGCAGTTCATTGGAGATGAGTAGCAGGTGAACAGAAGAGGAGAGAAGGATGCTCCAGCTCCGCCCCGGTTAGGCAGGGATAGTCGCTGCCTCTTACCCACTGGAAACTTCAAAAGGTGAGAGACCATTGGCTGAGCAGGTCAGTGTGTTGTACGCTACTACTCTATCTACTCCGAGTAGCTGATCACTCTAAGAAGCCACATTCTGTGATGCCACACAGCAAAGAGCTGCCTCCAGCTCTTGATTCAGGCGTTCAGTCTCTCCATTGTTCTGAGGATGACATCCTGAACTTAAGTGCACTTTATCTCCTACAGCAGAACAGAAAGCCTTTCACACCTGAGACAGAAACTGGGGACTCCTGTCTGAAACTATTTCTACAAGGAGACTGTGAAGTTTGAAAACATGGTCTATGAGCAGTTTAGCAGTGAGCATGGCAGTCGGAGATTTCTCAAGTGCAACAAAATGGGTCGACTTTGAAAACCGGTCCACAATAGTCAGGATTACAGATTTTTTAGTTGAGGGTGGTAACCTAGTTACAAAGTTCAGCACAATATAGGACCAGGGATGATTGGGTACAGAGAGCGGATGTAATAGACCAGATGGAGGCTTAATGCGGCTTGTACTTCTGGAGAAAAAGTAAAGGCTGACACATACTCTTTGGCCGCAGCCCTAGCATGGGCCTCAACCCGAATGACGACTACTTGAAGTGGCACCTGGGACCTGTAGTTAATTATCAAACCTCAAAATGAGGGAAACGAGATCCTCAAAGGAGCACATCTCATCCTGGGATGTTAGCTGGTCCTTCATGGAGTCATTGAGGAAATTCAAGAACGCTCCATGGAGTATGTCAGTGGCCCAACCGGAACTAGCCCCAAGTGTGCGGAACTTAAAGACATGCTCGTTGACACATTTGTTTCCCTGCCGAAGGGCCAGTAGGCGCCTTTGCACTGTGCCCCCACTGAGAGGGTGAGCAAAGGATGCCTTAAGCTTCTAAACAAACTCTTAGAATGAACATATAGAAATGGCTCACGACAGTAAATAAGCCTCTGCCCACATTAGACCCTTATCTTGTAAGTAGCCGACCACAAAGGAATTACAAAGGCATCATCAGAAAAAGAGCGATGCGACGCACAAAGGCCAGCTAGCACTGGAGCAGGAAACTGACCTCCCCCGAGAAAGGCTTGTGAGAGAATGGGTTTCCATGGCTAAGCAGCTGCATCAAAACCCAAGTGTAGTTCAAAGTGTTGAATGCAATGGTGTAAAGTACGTCACTGCTGGACTCTAGAGAAGCCAAGACGTGGAGTGATGAATTACACTTCCCTGTCTGGCAATCTGATGGAATAGTCTGGGTTTCACAGCTGCCAGAAGAAAAGCACTTATCTGATTGCACTGTGCCAAGGGTAAAGTTTGGTATGGAGAGGATTATGGTGTGGGGTTTTTTTTTTCAGGAATTGGTGTTGAACTCTTAATGCTTTGGCATACTGAGACTTTTTGGACAATTTCATGCCCTCAACTTTGTGGAAACAATTTGGGGATGGCCGTTCCTTTTTCTGACATGACTGTGCACCGTAGCAAAAAGCACAGTCTATAAAGCTTGGTGTAGAAGAACTTGACTAACCTGCACAGAGTCCTGATCTCAACCTGTTAGAACCAGATTGTGATGAATTAGAGCAAAGACTGAGAGTCAGGCCTTCTTGTCCAATGACAGTTTCAGATATCATAAATGTGCTTTCTGGAAGAATGGTCAAAACGTTCCATATTTCAAACTTTCGAACTCAAAATAAAACATGAGGTGGATGCTTCTGAACTTTATGGTGGGGATATTCTTGCACCTTCTTTTCTCATTGCTTATCCTCACCTGAAAGGTGTCATGACTTTTCTGAGGTGAGGTGAGGTGAGGTGAGGTGAGGTGAGGTGAGGTGATGAGGTGAGGTGAGGTGAGAAGGAGCAGCTCTTGTGGTGGCCAGCAGGCTGTCCCTATCCTATCTGTCAGTGTCATACAATGTATGTGTTGTTGCTGAGTAGACATGCTGCAAATCAATTTCCTATTGGGGACAATAAAGTCACCAATTAACCATAAGTTACCATGAGCTGCTGGTTAAAGAGAGTTAGAAGCACTGGTTAATGGGGGGTGAGCACCCTTTTAAGGTCTGGACCAACCACAAAAACCTGTCCGCCTACAATATGCTAAAGGTTTAAATTCAAGATGGGTGGTCTCTATTTTTTGGTTAGTTTTGGGTTGAAGGTCTAGAGGTGTAATAAAATGCCCTTAATGGAATGACAGAGGAGGGTGTGAGATGTGGGATGCTTGAAAGAAGAGGTCAATCAAACATCTCCAGTTTCTTCCTCTTGTTAGTTGGAAATTATTATTTTACGTCATGTCAATTAAATGCTGAACTGTCTGTGGAGTGAGAAAATGTGACTCAAGATTGTCCGGGGTGTGTGAGCTGGCCCCAAATCTCTGGAGTCGGATCCATGATTCCACACTGAGCGCTGTTTGCCTACTAAAGCAAGAGCCGTCCAGAGCTATTACTTACTGTACAGTTTCTAGGAATGTTAAGCCTGATACCCTTTCCTGTCAGTTTCCCCTGAGCCCTATCAGTCCTCCTCTGAACCCATTTTGCCACCCTCCTACATTCTAGGTTGGAGATTGAGGACCTGATTAGACAAGCCCAGTCTTAGTTTTGAACCCCAAGCTGGTTGTTTGTGCCTTCATCTGGTGGCTTCACACCAATAAATTCACCTGTCACCCCAAGGTTGAGCGTATTACTTTGTCACTAAAGCATACATTTTAGAGGCCTACTTTAGAAAACAATGGCAGTAATATCCCTGCCTGTTCAGTCTACACTAGAAGTACGACCACTTCACAGTTCCTCTCTAGTCAGTTATTGCCATTACCCACAGCCAACCGTTCTTGGTTTATATAGCACATAATTTTGTTACTGGTGTCACGGTACCACCCACTCAAGGTTCTGGCTACTGGGATGCACAGGGTGTAAGTTGAAGGTCCTCCAATTGTAATAAAATGCCGTTAATGGAATAACAGAGGAGGGTGTGAGATGCAGGTTGTTTGAAAGAAGAGGTAAATCAAACATCTTCAGTTTTCCTGTGTTCTCCCTCTTGTTAGTTGGAAATTATTATTTTATGTCACGTCAGTTAAATACTGAATTATCTGTGGAGTGAGAAATTGTGACTCAAGATCGACCGAGCTGCATGAGCTGGCCCCAAATCTCGGGAGTCTGATCCATGATTCCACCTTGAGAACCGTTTGTCTAGTGAACCAAGAGCTGTCCAATTAAAGCCACACGTCTTCCCATACCTGGCTGCACCCACCTGGAAAAGTGTCAGGGTTCCTGGGACCCAGTGTTTTTGGTTTTGTCAGGTTCAGTTTATTTCTCACTCATTTATGTTGCCTGTGTGTTGTGTTCTAGTTATTTCCATGTATCATTAGTGAGATTATGTTCAGCTGTGTACTCACCGGTCTCTCATCATTACCATCAGCCTGTGTATTTAAGTCCTCAGTTCCCTTCTGTTTGTTCTTGGTTCATTGTTGATGATGTTAATTCCATGTGTTCAGTTCAGTCAGTCAGCTAGTCATTTCAGTCAGCCATCTTATGTTCTGCTCATCCCACTCACTATAATAAACTCCATCAACTCTCACCATGAGTCCTACATTTGGGTCCCTTCTTCTTTTCCTCTCATCGACACACAAAGCTATTAATTCCTAAATAAATTATGTATGATTGAAGGAAAGCTATCATGACTTTTTCATTCTCAGCTAACTCCAAGTTTCCCC